TATCACCCAGATATACGTTGTCCCTTTTGTGCCCAAGGACGCTATCAGAACTGCATGATGCCGCACTGTGATGAACGTCCTGCTGTTTTTTTTTTTTGACACATGTGGACAACATCATGATGTCCTCTGTCAGCAGGACTGTTTTGATGGGATAGGATGGTTCGTGCTAGCCGTCCTGCTGAATGCTGTGCTGGCGCAACTCTCCTTGGGTATCCTTGTGAACATCCACATCATCCTCACCGTAGCTGTCCTATCTGCCGAGGTGGGAACAGTTAAAGAAAAGAAGAAAAAAAGAAAAAAAGAAAAAAAGAAAAAAAAAGAAAACAAGATAGAAAAGGAAAAAAAAGAGAAAAAAAGAAAATAAGAAAATAAGAAAATAAGGAAAAAGAAAAAATATGTTGATCTGTGGGATGTGTTATTTGCTTTGTGACAATTGGATTATCTGTGGGATGTGTCATTTGCTTTGTTTCCCTGTTAGGTTTGGTTTCCTCCTCCTCCTCCTTTTCTTTACCTCTTTGCCTTTTGGTTGCGTGCAAGTGGGTCCTTGTGACACACGGGGGATGGATGGGGGCAGCCAGGGCTCAACCTGTCATCCACGTGGCTGGCCTTGTACGTAAGAGGTGATGAACAGGTGGGGCTTTCCTTCCTTCCTTCTTTTCCTTCTTTTCCTTTCCTTGTTTTGTTTTTTTTCGCCTTCCCGCTCCTGATTTACAGTGTGACAATGTATATATATATCGTCACATAAATATCAGAGCGCAAAAGCGAAACAAACAAAGAAAAACAAAAAGATATCAATTCATTTTTTATCTTCTTGCTTACACCTCCCCCTGTTATATACGTCGAAAAACGATGGAAACGAGAATGAACTGTCAACTTCATAGTTGCAAAACTTGCCTTCTGCCGTGATCTCATACATCGGTTTCGAACCCGTGATCTTAATTTTTGGATGATTTTCTTGAACTAACCAAAAAATGAAAAAAAAAAAAAGATTTTCTTTAACGGAAGGGAGGAGGTCACGGGTTTGAAGCAACAATGAAAAAGAGAATGAACCGTCAACTACAGTCTTCCCCCGATACAACGTACCGTCATTATAGCTGAATTTAGACTGAAATATAGCCCAAATTCAGCTATAATGACCTTACGTTGTATTTGGGGGAAGACTGTAACGGTTTTGAACCCGTGATCTAAGCCGTTGATCTCAAACAACGGTGTGATCTCAAACAACGGTTTCGAACCCGTGATCTAACCTTTTTGTTGTATAATAATAATAATATTGATTTAGCAAACCAATCAATGGCTTAAGCCACTCAGCCAAATCTCCTGGGGGAAAAAAAAAAGACAAAAAAAATTTAAAAATCGAGCTCCCGGGAAAAACGGGCTGTTACTTGAATGTGGAGAGAGTGTCAACTTAATTTTTGGATGATTTTCGTGAAACAACCAAAAAATGAAAAGGATTACGTTCTTTGGTGTGAATTTGCCTTTCTTATGCATTTTTTTTCTCAGGTCCTGTGGGCGTATGGTATTTGGTGCACCCTCATTTTGGGTGCAGACATCCGTTATCAGGGTGCGGTGTGTGTGGGGGGTGGGAAGACGGCAGAGCTCTCGAGTATTCAAGATCGCGGGGAGGGGTCTGGGTCAAGGGGCTTGCGTGAACGGATCTCGGTCAATGGGAGGGATTAGGGTCAACAGGTTTGTGGGAAGGGATTGGGTCAACGGGTTTGTGGGAAGGGATCTGGGTCAACGGGTTTGCGGGAAGGGATCTGGGTCCACGGGTTTGCCGGAAAGGGATCTGGGTCCACGGGTTTGCCGTAAAGGATCTGGGTCCACGGGTTTGCCGGAAGGGATCTCGGTCAACTGGAGGGATTTGGGTCAACGGGTTTGTGGGAAGGGATCTGGGTCAACGGGTTTGTGGGAAGGGATCTGGGTCAACGGGTTTGTGGGAAGGGATCTGGGTCCACGGGTTTGCTGGAAGGGATCTGGGTCCACGGGTTTGCTGGAAGGGATCTGGGTCAACGGGAGGGATTTGGGTCAACGGGTTTCTGGAAAGGGATCTGGGTCAACGGGTTTGCCACAAGGGATCTGAGTCCATGGGTTTGCCGGAAGGGATCTGGGTCCACGGGTTTGCACAAAGGGATCTCGGTCATCGGGAGGGATTTGGGTCCACGGGTTTCTGGGAAGGGATCTTGGTCAACGGGTTTGCCAGAAGGGATCTGGGTCMACGGGTTTGCCGGAAGGGATCTGGGTCCACGGGTTTGCAGGAAGGGATCTCGGTCAACGGGTTCAAGTGCGAAGAATCAGAGTGAATTCTGCCTGCTTGGAATCACTACTGACCAAACTATGGGAAGATTGGGAAAAAGTCAGTGAGTGGAAAAGGCACTCCCATACCTTTCTCGGCCTTTTGGCTACAAGGAGATCAAGTGCAGTGTATCGGTTCTGATCAGTTGAAACTTTAATATCTTATTATACGTGGTCCATCTGACCACAAAAAAAAAGAAAAAGAGAAAAAAAAAGAGCAACTTCCAGGCATCTGTCAGGCTGGAATGCTGTATAATAACCCCAAATAATTGCCCCTCAGTCATTATAGCTGTACTCAGGGCAACTTTCGGTCTAGAAACAGCGAAGAACTCGAAGCACATACTCGAGGAAAGAGAAAAAAAAAAAAAAAAAAGATTATAGGTTTTTGAAAGGTAGTGCTTTTAAAGTAGTAGCAGTAGCCATGCTCTCTCCCGAATTGGGGCGCCGACTGGTCTGGGAAGTTTGGAGGGATCAGGATGTGTTAAGGGAACTTAAGGCATGATAGATACTCGCACCATGATTTTATAGATTGCATCTGATCGTAACTACATCCAGATTCATTCCTGAAAACTTCTTCTGGGATAATCTGAACTAAGAAGCATTTGCCAGTCATCGCGTGTGTCGCCAAACCGAACTTTTCGGAAACGGAAACGACAAAGAGGAGGGAAAAAAAAGGAGGAACAGATGGTGGCTTGTGCATCATGAGTTCGAATCCCGAAGGATCTGATGAATACTGCTCCTCCTGTAATACTGCCAGGGGCTACCTACCTACGCCTTAAAAAAAAAAAAGAAAAAAAAAAAAAAAAAAAGAAAACCAACAACAACAACAACAACGAAAAGGGTGTTTCACAACGATTATCAATGATGTTACGGAAAAAAAACACACAAAAAGGTTGTTTCGCGATGATTATCAGTGATGTACAACAGTATCTCGGTGGACCTCTCATGAGCACTCCCTGCCGCGTGTGGTCCCCATACCTCTTTTTTTTTTCTTTCAATTTTTTAACATGCAGGGCTGGATGAAGGGCCCCATCCCTCCTAGGGAAGAAGAGGACCACAGTTACGATCCATGGGGAAAAAAAAAGGAAATAAAAGGACCACAGTTACGATCCGGACGTCTGGATCACAGTGCAGACGGTTTGGGTCTGGTGTCCGGATCCATCCCCCCACCCCCACCCAAAAAAAATCCGACTTAAAAAATAATCAAAAAAATGTGAAACAAAGATATGTTGTGTAGCATTGAAAATTGAAATACAAAAATCCTTTGGCTGAGGATCATGTTGAAATTCGTAGCCAAATCCAAGGGGAAAAAAAAACGTTTTCTTAAATTAAAAAAGTTTTTTTTTTTAACTTTTTTTCCAATCCTGACGGTCTGGAGCAGTCCGGACACAGGTCTGGCCGGACGTCGGGACTGGTCCGGTGTTCGGGTCCAATGTACCCATGAAGAGCACTGTAACTGAAGAATAATTGAGGACAAACATGGGGACTTACTTGGAGAGGGGTGGAAAGGGGGGGGGGGGGGGGGGGGGGGCATTGGGAAAAGGGGCCAAACGGCTTATTAAGGCATGCATAAACTATGTATCGTCAAACAGAGAGGCCCTGTAAGCCGTAGGCAGAGAGGGGGGAGAGGAGAACAAACGAGGGGCTGCGACATGCATAAAGTTGTCATAAACTATATAATATATCTGTATATATATTATATACTTCGGAGTTGGACTTTTTCCGGCCGTATCTGGCCTCAATAACGACCAAGATGCAGTCCCCAAAAAAAAGCATTAAAATGAGGATTCCCCTGAGGAGATTCACTTAGAGCAGATAGGGTGAAGTAGATGTTTTAGGGTTTTAGGGGGGTTTGCAGGCTTTGATCCAAAAATGTGTGTTGACTCTGTTGAGTGGTTTCTCTCTTTTTTTTTCCTTCCTTGATTTTGGCCCCCTAATACCACATCTTCCTGGCCTGAAGTAGATGTTTTAGGGTTTAGGGGTTTTGGAAGGCTTTGATCCCAATATGTGTTCGAGCGGTTCTCTCTTTTTTTGCCTCGTTGATTTTTGTCCCCTCGTACCACATCTTCCTCCTCCTCGAAATTTTTGCAGTTTGTGGATTCGTTCATGATCTTAGAGTGTCCCTTCGAAAGCAATTGCGGATAACGGGACTTGAACGCATATCCCCTCCCTTTTTGGAAGAGGGTCATCGACAATTTACCCTTCCTAATTGTCTCCCTTTAGGTGATGCCACAAGCCGATCTGGGAAGAGGGCCCCTGAGGAGGAGTGCTAGGTGTGCAGCCTGGCGGAAATTCGTTGGGGCAACTGAGAACTGTGCATGCGTGCGGAGATGTAATGTCTCACTAATGTGTGTATCTGTTGATACCGTGTGCCAGTAACAGTCAATGGCCACTGTGTTTGTTTTGTTTTCACTATCCTTCTTTTTTCTACTTCTTGGGTGCCTGCTGTAAGGTGGATCTCGGGGAGAAGCCCCCCTGAGGAGTGCCAGGTGCGCTTCCTGGCTGAAAAACGCGCGTAGGGCAACGACCGTGTTTCTTCTGAGCTCAGTGCTTGCAGATGCATATGGAAATGTCTGTCGAAGCGTGCTCGAAAGACAGTCTATGGCCTCTGTTTTCTCGCTCTTCTTCTTCTTCTTCTTCTTCTTCTTCTTCTTCTTCTTCTTCTTCTTCTTCTTCTTCTTATTATTATTATCTTTGACTTCCCCCCCTTCTCTTACTTCCTGTCTTCTTCAGTCTCAGATGGTCATCAAAGTTGGTTGTGCGGTAAGGGGAGAGAAGCCCCTCCCTGAGGAGGGCCAGGAGTGAAGCGTGGACGAAACACATGGAGGGAATATGCGTGTTTCTACTGAGAACTGTGGATGCGAGAAGGAGACTATGGCCACTGTTTTCACTATTCTTCTTAATGCTGAACCTGACTTTGATGGTGCTTCAGCCTGTTGCATTAATGTATGCCTTTTTCTGTTTTCTCCTGTGTCTCTCTAACCCCCCCCCCCCCGGGGGACCCTTTTCCTGTTTGCGCTGTGTGCACTCTGGATTGCTGTTATGCTTTTGCAGGTGCCCGCGCAACGTGCTGCAGCTCTCCGCTTGATTGCTGCTGTTCTCACGAAGGCAGCAAATACTTATGCGCGTGCAGCGGAGAAGCCAGGGCCAATGGATGGTTCAGATGCGCGTGCAGCCCCCGTGAATTCACAGCCAACGGACAGCTCGGATGGCGTTGATTGGTCAGCCATTTGGGCGTATGCATTTAGTCCGCCAGTGCAACTGGCTGTAACGCTGCGGTGGGTAGATACAGATCTGATATCCTGATTCCGATAGAGGAGTTTGATATCTCGACCTTGGTATGAAATGAATTTTGGTAGAGGGAAGGGTTCGTTCTTTTCTTTGCTGATTTCACAGAAACGAAAAAGAAGTTTAAAGAACCTTTCGGGTTTTGTATTTAATCCGTCTGCAAGATTAGGTTTGTGTTTTTTGTTACTGGGCGTCAATCAGTCCAGGGTGTTGTGTCGTTTAGGCGATACGTCTACTTGTTTGCATGTTTCTCTCCGAACCGGTTGCACTTGTTCATCCCCTCTGAATTCATCTGACCTTATCCTCTCTCTCTCTCTCTCTCTCTCTCTCTCTCTCTCTCTCTCTCTCTCTCTCTCTCTCTCTCTCTCTGTGTCCACCCTTGTGGCTGGACATACGGGAGGAGGGCGGATGGAGGGGGCAGCACGCTGGGCGAGGGAATTGTGGGGCCCGGCAGCGGCAAGTGGTCCTCCCTCTCTCTCCCTCTCTCTCCTGAAAGGTTGTGCCTCTGGGCTAACCTGGTTATTTGTCTCCCTCCCTCTCTCTCTCTCCCCGTCTCTCTCTGCCCCCCCCCCCCCCTCCCCCCCCCCCCCTCTCCCTGTATGTGTCTCTCTATCCCCTCACTGCCTTTGGCACCCAAAGCTACCACGTCCGCCTACTCATAACGATGACATAAAAGAAAAGAAAAAACTGAGAGTGTGGGGGTGGTGGCTAAGATGATGACCCACCGTGCGCGGGGAGGTGTGGAGGGTCCCGGACAGGGCCAGGAGGGACACTTTCTCTGTTTCTCATTCGGCCGCAGCAGGAGAGTCGAGGAGATGGGGAAGGCAGCGAAGTGCTGCTGGC